TATATGTATTTAGTTTCAAGAATCTTAATAAAGTACTAGTGTAACTGCTTAAGGTTAAAAAAAAAAAAAAAAAAAAAAAAAAATACATCATATTAAATACATTATGTCAATATGTTATAGTAAATATTAATTGATATTTTAATGCTTGCAGCTTATTTATAATTAAAATAATACAAAACAAATTAAGTATTATTCTAATACACATATTAGGCAAATGAAGAAATTATCAAAAATAAAGTTAATTTTATTACTTATATTTTGTTCAATATATATAATAAACAAAAATAATTTTTAATTAATTAATAAATTTATTATGTAAATTATTAAAATAAACTTCTAATTTTCCTGTTTGATAAATATATTAAACAAAAAATATAAAAATAAACTTTTAGTATAATAAATATTATATAAAATAAATTTTTAATTTGTTAGTTTGATACTTATATTGAACAAAAAATAAACTTTTATTATAATTAATATCATATTATTTATCAAAATAAAATAAATTTTTTTGAACAAAAAATACAAAATACAAAATACACTTTAATTAATATTGTATAATTTATTAAAAATAAACATTAGTTTATTAGTTCAATATAAATATCAAACAAAGAATACAAAAATAAACTTTTAGTATAATTAATAATATATAATTTATCAAAAAAAATGAACTTTAAATTTGTCAGTCTGATATATGTATTGAACAAAAAATACAAAAATAAACTTTTAATATTCTTATTTTTTGTAAAAAGCTTGTATAGAAAATAGAATTAATAAAATCAAATATAAATATGCTAAGACATTATTGCAAAATTGTTGTTTCTTATTTACTTTTTTTTATATTTTCTCTTTTAATATCTTTGTTACTTTTTTTATATTTTGTTTTTAATATCTTAGTTGCTTTTTTTATATTTTGTTATAACTTATAAAAAGAATAAAGAAATTATCAAAAAACTCACTATTTCATTACAAACAAAGAGACATATATATAGTAAAGTGCTATGCTTCTATAGTAAATGCAATAATATAGAAAGAAATTCAAGAGTTAAAATTAAATATGAAGTAGAAGAACAGAAACTATTCATTGCAAAGAAAAACATATTATTTCAAAAAATCAAATGAGCTATTAGCTGAAAGATACTTTTAATGATGAAGGGTTCTTACATATAATGAATACTACTTTTTTAATAGATTATAATAATTTTTTTTTACAGATAGTAAAGTATTAGGTTCTTTTTTTCTTTTATGTTTTTTCTTTTCTTTATTTATTTGAGCTGCTTGATTTATATTAACTGCTATCTATTTTATTTCTTTTTTTTATTTCTACTTAATCTAATTTTTTTCTTTTTATTATTAATAAAAGAATATTATTCAAATAATAAGAAACATGATTTGGTACCTCTGTTACAGTTAGAAAATCTTCAGTTTCTTATTAGGCAGCTTTCTAAAGGCTTCTATAATGCAAAGACATTGGCTTTTTATTCTGATAAAGATTTGTCTCTTTTTTCTAATAAAGATAAAAATAAAAATAATAATATAAGAAATAATAAAACTAATAAAACTAATGAAATTGAAGAAAAGGATAAAGAGGTAAATATAATAAATTTCAATATATCTGATTTGATAATGACTCTAAGACTAATGTTTGAACTGTTAATAAAGATGTACTATAGATTGTATTATAAGTTTTCATTATCAACAAAGATTTTAATATTCTAATATAAGCATTAACTTTTTGATTAAATATTTGTGATATTTGTTAACTCATATAAACAAGAACAAATATTATAACTTGTCTACTTTAATAGATATAGCAAAAAATATAATTGATAAATCTAATCATGCAACAAGATTCACTGCATATGAATCTTATTACAAACTATATAATATAAAAAACATATTAACAAAAAAAACAAAACAAAATCTGAAAATACTTTACTATATTTATATAGAGTTTTTAAATTATATTAATATTGATAAAAGAATATTATGCAATACAATACTTTTAAAAAAAGTTAAGATAAAAGATGGCATAGTTAGAAAACCAATATTTATTTATCTTGTAATAAACTTTAAACAATTATTTACAAAGTTATCTTAGCAATTAGAGTTTGAAAAGGCATGCAGAAGATGGATTTATCAACTTTTTAAAAGTCAATTATCAATAATAGGATTTTGAAATCATTCTTTGATAATAAAAAAATGCTATTTTTTCTACTCAAAAATAGTCAATAGTTATATAAAATTGATAATAAATTTGGATTGGTTTCAACTGTTTGAATCTACTTAATATAGTATAAAGGTTATATATGCTGTTATATATAATTTTTTATATCAAAAAAAGTTTCTGTTTTTTTTTTTATATTAGTTTATATATTCATTAGTTCTTTTTTTTATTGAATTTTTTTTTTTTATATTTATTCTTTTTTTTATATTTAGTTTTTTTTTTACATTTATTAATCAAATACAATATTAATTAATATTATATATAAGAGGATGGTGATCTTAGTGTAGTGGTTAGGTTGTTATCCTCCAAGCAGTAGGTCCAATGTTCAATTCCTATCAGTGACAGATTTTGAAAAATAGATCTATTCTGGCAAACTTATCCATAATCTGGGGTTTGTAGATCCTGTAATTCTGATTATATCAAAACTAACTTTGGAAGTGTACAATGTCATATGAATAAATTCAAAAAGTATATATTTGGATTAGAAGCCTGCTTGAAAATCCTGAGTAGAGAAGTAGTACAACTTTCAATAGTGCCACTTGTGAAGATCTTGATCTGCTGAAGAAAACCTAAGGCAGGTGACCTGTACAAGCAAGAACCTCTAGGTAAAGAGTTTACCAATCTGGCCATCGATTGATCTAGACATGAAGTCACATCATGCAGGGCTAACTAGATTGGTAGTATAGAAGGACTTGCAAGAGTAGACGAGGTAATGGTAAGGTTGTAAAAGGAGAGTACTAGGGTTGTATGAACTTCGCAAAGGTTTTTGTAAACTAGATTTAGCTGTAATTTGGAATACAGAAGGTTTTAGTAATGATGTCTTAAAGATAATCTGTATGAAATAAGGCAGGAGTCCTAAGGATATGGGTAAGCATCTAGAACTTCTCAACTGACATCATGTAACAAAGATGTTCTAGTGATAACAGTAAGAATTGCAGTACAGAGAGTTTAAATAGGCAATATCTGTAGTTGGGTTGCAGGTATAGCAGCTAGTATAGAATCTATATATAGGTGGACTACACAAATTAGACACCAAAAGTGTATGTGTGGCTAGACGTACTCTCTAATATAAGGTAGCTCCTCTGAGGTAATCAGATCATGAGTTATCATGTCCTACAATTTTGAATAAAAAAGCTCTAGTTCTTAAAAGACTAGTTTAATAAAAAAAAAAAACATTATATATAAAAGGTTTAAACTATTTAACATAATAATATTGGCTGTTATATCAGGACTATCAGAACCAAAGTTACATTAATTAAATTATTTTTTAGCACTAATTGTTAATCAGTTTATAAAACTTTAAAAAGAAATAAACCTATTAGCTATGTTTGAGTATTCATCTGACAAAAGAATAAAATATGTAGTAATTTGTTATTTCAGTGACTTATTGTAATAAAAAAGCTTTGTGACCATATTTCAGCTAAGGTTGCATGTCATAATTACTATAAGAAAGCCAATTATAATATTTAAAACTAACCTTATTTTGATGGTATTTTTGATATAGATTTCTGGTTTGTAAAATGTAATCACAATTTTATTTAAAATAATGCAATGAATTAAAAAAATTGCAAAACAGCAAATTAAAAATATAGTATATTTCTAATACTTTTGTTAGATAGTTAAAAATCTATAAGCTTTTATACTTCAATTCTGTTAAGTTTCTGATAGTGGACCTTAATGCATTGTCTCTTTTTGGAAATAGCAAAATGGATCATAACTAAATTATAAATTGAAGGCAACCAATTAACTTTTCAGATGTTAGAAATTATGCAGTTGTTAGTTGACAAAATTGATGTACCATCAGATATTAGTAGAATTTCTAACAAAATTTTTACTAAATAAAAGTTTTTATCATTTATAGCAGACTAGAAAAAGACCTATATCCTATTACAATTTGTTAGAATCTGTTATGTAATATTGACAGAAAGTTCTAACTTATTTTATTTGGGCATGTAGCATATTAGTTTGTAGAATAATTAATGAAAAAGATTTGAAAGAAACATATCAATATTTAATTACTATAATAAAAATTATTAAAGAAATATATAGTTATGAAAAAATTTTTTTGAACATTCATCTAAAATTTTATATATATGAATATGCTTTAGACTATAGATTTTTAAATTTTTTCTAATGCTTTATCTTTGAATAAATAAATAAATTACTAGATAGATAATATATAAAAAAATTAGCAATTAGCTAATATCTTTATAATCTATTTTATAGATACTATTATAATTTAATAAGAAAATTTATAATAAAATAATTTAATTATTATCAAATTTTTTTTTGGTTGACAATAATATCTATAATACATTTGTATATACTAAATAATACTACTATATTTTATAAAAAGCTATAAAAATAGTAATAGGAAAATTAAATCAAAGCTTATAAATATTATTTAAAAAAATAAACATATTAATAGATTAATTAATAATAGTAATAATATTTATTTATTTGAAATTTTGTTTATTTAAATTCAAAACTATTAGCCAAAAGTCTAAGTATTTATGAAATATCTAATAATAAAGTAATTTATTTTATTTCTATATTAAAATCAGTTAAAGAAGATACTAGTACTAGTATAAAATTTGATCTATTTTCTTATATCTAAGAAATTAAATATTAGTTCGAAAACTAAATTTTGGTCCAATTTAAACTATATATATATAACCTATAGCAATTACAGATATTTTGATAAAGTATTAATATTATTTATAAAAATATCAAACAGCTGATATTTTGTTTAATATTTTAGTATTTAATCTATAACTATAACCAGTCTATCAATCAGTATATCAGATCAGTTCAATATACTTTTTTTCTAGTTTATATTAGTAATCTGATTAATAGTACTTTTAAACTTCTAAGCTAGAAGTTTTTGCCTATTTGAATACTTTAATATTAATATTTATTTTTAGTAGTTTAGCTTTTACAGTAGTGCCATCAAAAATCTATGCTATCTTTCTACTTAGATCTTTCTAAATAAACTTCTTGTTTTCTAATTTTAATAGATTTACATAGTTACAAAGACATATCTAGTATGTGTATTACTTAATGCCAGTTTGTATTCCTCTGTATAACTAGTTACACAAATGCTTTATAACCTGCTAGTCATATTAATATAACTATTATTACAGATATCTTAACTTAATTATTAAAAACAGTTGCTATAATATAAGAATTATATAGATGATTATTCAAATTTTTGTTGTTAATAGAATTTAAATACCTAATCTATCACTTGAAAGTTGACAACTTATTTATTTTACTAAGTTGCTACATTCTCAAAACCTTTAGTTATTTTAGTTAATAAAAATAAATATATATAATAAAATTTTGAGAAAAAGTTTTAAAAATAAAAGGATTTATATTAAATTAAAAATAATAGTATTATTAAAATTAGAAAATTATAAAAATAATAAGATATTATTTTTTTTAATAAAAATAATATTTTTGTATTAATTTTTATATATATTGTTTGATATTTTAAGCTTACTAAATTGAATTAATTAAATAAAAAATCAATTAAAAAATAAAAAAATTATTAATTAGTTTTTTTAAAATAAGTTAAAATTATTTATATTAGTCAAAGATTATTGTATTCTAAATAAATAAAAGTATTATATTATATATAATAATAAAGTTTAAAAAAAACTTGTAAATTAAAATTTTGTATTATTAAGTATAATAAAATATTTGATAAATTTAATAAATTAAAAGCATTAAAAATTTTATTAATAAAAATGATTTGTAGATTATAAAAATAAAGTAAATTTTAAAAAACTTATTTAGTATTTTGTATTAATTATAATATAAAGTTTTTTATTAATATTACAAATATATTAAAAATATTAGTTTTTTTTGGTATTAAGATAAGGCTTTGCTTATTTTTTATTAGTTTTTTTTTTTAATATTAAGGTAAGTACTTGTGACTCGGAATTTTATTGATAGTATATTTAGCTAATAGTTGCATTACAACTATAAGAGGCAACTATAGAAAGAGTGTACAACTAGCCATTTATACAACTTTAGTTATTGTCTAATTTAAGTAGTTCACTTAAAAGTTATATACTAGCTGTCATATCTAGAACCTGCTTGTAGATTTACTATTTAACTACTCTGTTTTTATATCCATCTATCTACTTCTGGTTATCAATGACCTTGGCTGATGCTAGTAAAAATATACCATAGCCACTAAGTCTTTAAAGCATTTCATTCATATAAGAAACTTTTAACCTTATACTAAACTTTCTAGAATCTTCTGTATCTCATTTTTACAAATAATCTAATATCACTATGATCAAGATCAACACTGATGGTCAGAGTATACTATTAAACTGCTATGCCCTTATAGAGTTCATCTAAACTTAGTACTAACTTCACAACATATTTCTACTACTTTGGTATTCAATTCAAGTTCTATCAAGCTGCCAACTCAGATAGTTCAGAAAA